AGAATCTGTTCCTCCACTTTACAATTTACACTTACACATAAATATCCTCTTGGGCAGTAGGGTTAAAATAAGTGAGTGAGTATTTTCAGATTGTAGTCTTAAATACCTCTGAGTGGAGCAGTACTGAGAGACCATTACTCCCCTCACTGCTGCTCTTTATTTTTTTCACTGTAAGGCGTACGCGTCTCTGGAGGAAGATCCTCAGAGTAACTGCTCGCTGTAATTGCTGTGTTTAGTGCTCATTTATAAATGCTCATGTATTTTTTTGCGCCAAGCTCAACTTCCCATGTCTTAAGTCTCTATCCTTTGTTCACTTTAGTGCTGAGAAATAACCATTTTTCAGCTAGTAAGGATCAAAACTAGACCCAACAGTCACCTTAAATTCAATCAAGCGACATCAAATTGCCCTCACTCATAAATATCATTTCCCTAAATATGCCTGATTTTTTTTACATCAAGATCCATGAATTAATCTCTGAATAGAAAGTGATGAATGAAAATTTCATTACATGGATCAGCACCAAAGTATAATGGGTTCTTTCCTGGCCAATTTCACCAAGTTTCATGGAAATACGTTTCGCCACTTTTTGTGACAAACAAACAGGGGCAAAAACATGATCTCTTTGATCGAGGTAATTAATGCTCACAACTCAACTCAACCTTGAAATTTCAGTTCTATGTGCAAATAAGACAATTGGATGACATGGTGAAACCTCACTGTAGACCAAGGTGTCGGGCTGCATGATCACATGATCTCCGCAGCAGAGTTAATACTTTACTTTCTGCATCAGGCTGCTCCACCAAAAGCATCTGTGCAAAAACCTTGTGCTGCATTGTGCATGTGTGAAAGGCAAAGTCCGAACCCAGTTCTCCCGACTTCACCTGCAAGTCATGTCTGAAAATTGCTTAAGAGGATTATTGTCAGCTGTGCTTCTAGCAAAAAGAAAAGCCTGATACAGCGTAAAATAAACTGTAGGAGTAGAGTACAGTATTTTTAATAAAAAAGATATTAAACTGCAGTTGAGATGTACGCAAGTGTATAGGTCGCTTTTCTTCAAAACTCCAAAGCAAAATAGTTTACACTCCTTGCCTCTGTGCCTGTCCTCAACCAAAGACAGTGAGTGGCATACACAGGCTGACACATGAGAGGAAGGACAGTGTCTCCAGTGCTGTCCTTTCAAAGGGCGTGAATGCATTATCAAACCGTAACCCTGCACGGCAGAAGAAAATCTCCATGAACACCAAGGATATTACCAACATATGTAAAGAGTTGAAAGCACCTCAGATCAAAGTCGAAGTGGAAAAAAGAAGAATATGTCAAAAAAAATTCAGGCAACAGCTAAGAGAGGATACAGTAGGAAATTGCCCCCTTGCAATGAAGACACAAAAAAAGTTTTTGAGTTTTTAAAATTTTTTTTCTTATTACTCTTTTAAAGATTGCACAAAAGAAAAAAGGTGATCTTAGCTCCTGCTGGTTTCAGTCCACAATCTGCATTTCACAAAACAACAAAACAAGGTGTCACCACTTCAGAGTCAGAATCTTGTGATACATAGAGAAAACAACATTATTGTTTACTGGGCCTTCACCTTCCGATATCCAGCCACAGCAGCATGGTGCATTGTGTGTTTTTGTTTTCCTGTAGTACAAAGCTGTTGAGTCTTCCAACACTTATGGCAAATATAGTAAAGCAGTTTTATACAAAGTATAGGGTCTAAAGGGTTTGCCAAGTCCCTATGACACAATACAGTTTATTTTCTACTAAATGATGTTCGCTTTGCAGGCTGACAGAGAAAAATTAAGTGTAGGCTCGGTTTAAGCACATTCTTTCAATATAGCACCATTCTGTACTAGCTATGATCGCAATAAGCCAGGAAGACATATCTTTATTATTTGTAATTTGTTCGCACCTACTGACAATTGAAAATTTTCCAGAAAAACCACAAATAAGCCTGTTTCAATAGGAGGCAACTTTAAAAGTGAGTGTCTATAAATAGATGGCCATTCCGAAATCTCTTTAAAATAATAGTTGAAGGTGTCCTGCATAAATACTTGCAGACATCTGGCTTAGTTTAAAAGCATAACAATAAATATTGCTTTATTAATTAATTACAATTAAAAAACGGAAAGAACTGTCCAATATTCACACTTTACATGGGCCAACATTAAATATTTTCCTATAACCTTTAAGATGTGTAAATTCCATGTGATTATGATTGTAACCACTTACTTTACACCACTGATGTAGATGACTAATTCTTTTAATAGCTGAAATGTGTGAAGCAGTGGTAATAACCTGGTAAGCTGCGCTACGATAGAAATAAATTGTAATGACGATACAAGTCTTGCACTGACTCGCTTACACAAATAGACGTGTTCGTGAGAGGAGGGCACATATCACATTGCCAAGAGGCGGCTTCTCTGTGGCTGCCCCGACCAGAGATAAGCTGCTAAGCTGCAGATGAAAGTGTGTGTGCATGTAGAGAGCGTGGCGTGGTGAGCAGCTGTGGTCGGTCAGATTTGGGAGCCTTCTATGACACCGAGGTTAAGATACAGTGGTGAGGAGCTTTACTTCCATACACACTAGCACACATTTCCCCCTACCTTTCATATCAGCCCATCTTGGAAATTAAAGATAAAAATGTATTCATAGTACATTACTTTTAGGTTTACGTATTTGGCAGACACTTCTATCTGAAGCAACTTACAACTTTAAACAACAACATTAAAGCTTCAGTACAGTGGGAGACCACAAAGTAAGTGTGGATTCAGTTTGATAAGACAAGGTAAAAGAGAAGACGTGCACCAAAAGTGCAAAGTAAGTGCTGGTTAGGCTTGATGATATGGTGGTAGAGGTTGTTAGAACAAGAGGTGCTCTAGGTAGAGATGGGTTTTCAAGAGGTGCTTGAAGATAGTAAGGGCCACCCCTGCTCCATCCCCTGCACATAAAGCTTCAGTCACAGATAACAGAGCAGTTTCAGTAGAGTGGCCACTCTGGCTAGACTGATTTTGATCAAGGACGGCATTCTGACCTGTTTGAAAACCAGCCTTGTGATAGTCATAGATAAGTAATGAGACTGGTCAAAAGTTCTCAACTCCAGCAAGCTTTTAACTGATCCTCTTTGAATGCAGTTGGGAATGTTCCCAAGCCAGAGGAGCACTTATCCAGTGTGGTGGAAGATGTAACTTCTAGGTCGTTGGTGGGAGTGGGGTACATACAATCTTGTTTATTTCATGACTATGTGACAAGTCAGGAGTTTTTATACTTTTTCCTCAGTGAGAGGTGTGACTAAGATGGTATGCCATTGATCATTGGAGATAGAGAAATACAGTATATGTAGTAAGTCTTCAACATGTAACACTTTTAGGAGCCTTACTTACACTCAGCTAGATGGCTGTGTGAGTGAAATGGTGGGCTATCAACAGGAGCCAGAGAGTATAAGAGCTGAGCAGAGTGCTACATGTTTGCCCTGCTGTTGTGCTGTCCAAACAAAGAGAGACGATGTTAACTGGGAAGACCTGGGAAGAGGTTGTCTTTGAATGTTTCAGAGATTTGATGCCCGACACGTTTTCAGTAAAGGAGGCAAAGATATCAGTTGAGAGGTCAGTGTCTGGTGGAGGTGCTGCAGGATTGAGTAATATCACTGGCACTGCAGATTGTATCATTGAAAAAAACAGTTTTAGTGATACTGATACTGGATGAGGGCAGATCAGAGCAATGGACAACCCTTGAGATCAGCAGGGTCACCGGTTTTTCTCCTAGCAGCTGTGAGAACAGTACGTAGCTTTCAGTTGAGGTTAAGGTTAGCCAAGGTGGAGGCAGGTTAGAGGGAGCAGGTTTGATGGATAGCAGACACAGGCTATTCAGAGACGAGATCAGTAGAGTAGATGAACCCTGAGCAATCATTGACTGCTATTGAGGGAACAGTTTGTGGCAGAACAGAACCAGAGGTGGTGAAATGGAGGGCCACTTCTTATGGGACACATATAGTGCAAGTGAATTCATGGAAGTGCAGTAGTGTGGCTGTTAAGAACTCTGTGGCACTTTCCTATGAGAATGAGGTCAAGTTCTGCTGATTTGTGAGTTGGGGGCTGCAAAAACTGGTCAAATGAGCGAATCAGAGACAGAAGGTCAGATTTCTCTGCCCTAAAGAAACTCACAACAACCAGTTGATACTTGCAGTCGTGCACAATCAATGCATTTTCAAACAGAAGCAAGGAACACAAAGATGTGAATGAGATTACAAAGTAGCAGCACTTGGTTTTTCTTAGTGATTCACACATACTCTGGATTAACAGCACAAAAGATGTATCTCTGCTGCAGGAAAAGATTTTAAGGAAAAATACAGAATTTTCATCTGTATAGCCAAGCAACAGTAATGAGGTCCCAAATAGCAGGAGCACCACTCTCATCCAAATCCATTGTTCCAATATGGCCATAGGTTGCAGAGTTGCTCAGTGGACAGCTCTGTCACTTCCAAAACAATTAGGGATCGCACAGGGTGGAATGTGCGTGTTCTCCATGTTTCTGCACAGGTTAGGTTGAAATGGGGCTTTAACATAAGTGGAATTTGGTTTGCATATGAAATGTCTACATCCGGATTCTATGAGGATCAGATCCATCAACAATCCAACAAAGGGAATTGAACAGATCTTGAGTAAGAATCGGATATCTCAATTGTAGTAGAAAATGATCAGATGTAAGCATGGTAATATATTTGTTGTATGAGTATATCTATTATCTTAAGGAAAACATACAATCTTGTTTATTTGCTGATGAATACCTCTATCATGTCTGTTTAGTAACTATGAAGCTGCCATCAATTGTGGCTTAGCATAAAGACTGGAAATAGGTGGCTCCATTTAATATTCCACCTATGACATCTCGTGTTACAGCACATACTTCCTCAGCAAAGTTTCATTTCCTGAAAATGAAGACCTACATTTCAGTAGAGGTTGTTCTAGCATAAACAAACAACAAATTCATATTGTTAACTGGTATTATTTCAAAATAATGTTTATTATAAATACACATGCACTGTGCAAATCTGCACACCAATACACATACTACTGGTGAAAACTGAAATAAAATGACTCGATAAGTCAGTCAGTTTATAAGGAACAGGTTCATACTTTAATAAAAGGGTATTTCCCTTGGCACAGGTCTGCTATCAAATAAATAGAGCAATTAATCAAATACAATCTATCTCAACTAAACAAAGTCATGAAAAAAAATATTAGGAGGGAGGAGGGAAAGGGAAAGAATAGCTAGTGCTAAACAATTTTCCTTTACAACAAATACCAAGCATCTGTGTGTGGACACAAACAGCTTGTGGTGGAGATTCATTCCTCCCTGCTGAGTCAGATTGGTGTGGTGGATACTGCTTAAGGAATACTAGCTGACAGTAGGCAAGTGAGATAGCTTGACAGTCATCTCAGTTTCTTTCTACATGATGCTGGTTTAACCTCTGTGGTCCACTATATACATCAGATTTAAAAAGAAATGTTGACACACATTGATATTAGTGGAGCATTAAATACTGTAGTAACATGGAAATGTGGCTCTGGATATCCTATACAACAGGACAGAAGATTGTGTGACATGATTTGACTTTGACCGTTCCGAATGGAGACATTCATAATTTGAAAGATAAAAGTTACACCTGCTCTCGCATCATAATCTGGCAAACAAAATAAAACTAATCAGATTCTGGTAGGTGTGAACAGGGTGGCTGACAACTTGGCTGCTCGCAAAATGACAAAAACACCTGCACATGATCTTTTTTCCACTTAAAATATAGAGACATTTCCATAATGTGATGAGACAGAAGAGGGACAGTGGCAGTGGGAGGTTACGGTTTTCCCAAACCTCCATAAATGCTGCTGAGATGCTCTTGAGAAAAGCAAAAACATCCCTTGTTGTTCCAGTGACGGTGCTTTGTGGCCAAAGGTATGAAAGTACAGTTGTAGTTTCTAGAGAGTTGTTAGGTTCTAGTGTGACTTCAGGTTACTCTATGCATATGAGGCAGGGAATTATCAAAAAAGAGCAATGTGTCTGTATTTAAACTCTGGGTGAAAGAAATTTAAAAAAATTCAACCTGACCTGATCTGACTGAATTTTGCCAAATCCCTTTATTAGCCTTTGCTCACCACATTGAATCAGACCTCCATGCTGGAAAAACAGTCGGCTTATTCCACACTGCTTATATTTAGAGCCATACATTAGTATCAACACTTATTTCAGAAGAGGTGAAAGAATCGACAAAGGAGTTACAGTGTTATGAGGGGTCCAGTGGTGAGGACTCCAGGAAAAGCAGTGTGAGGTTAAGGAGCTGAGGTATGGGGCGCAGCTGTGATCTTCCTTTGGGGAATGACGCCGTTTTAACCACTGGGTCCCATGAGCTGAACCGTCTAACTGGTGCCTCCCGCTAAAGGACAGCCTGCAGCTGTGAGAGGACATCTCAGTGTGGAGGACAAGACTGGCATACAATGCATTCTTGCTCATCACAAAAACACACATGTCTATGACAGACTATTACAGTCTCTTGGATTGTTTGGGAATGAAGCCCGCTATTGAGAATGTGTTCTCCCCTCTGTATGTATGTGGCTACCTTGGAGCGAGGCACTTAAACTCTCATTGCTCCAAAGGTCGAGAAACATGCTGCACTAGAAAAGAAGGAACAGGAAAGTGCTGAACATTATCAGTGGGAAAACAGTCCTGGAGAAAACTTCACTGCTGCCTCGGTCAGACCAGATGTGACGCAGGTAAAAACACTTTTTTCATGCTGGTGCCATCGACCTCTGCACAGTTACTGCAGCGCCCACAGAGCATCATGGGACAGGACGAGCAGACAGTCCCTGTTGGCAGGAGAGTAGCAGCGGTGAGTTATGGGTCTTGTGGAGACTGCAGGCCGGGCCCGGTGTCATACAGCACCAGAGGAATGAGACAGCTGAAAGAAGAAAGACCTGCTGACAGCTGGAAACAGAAGGAGGAGCCATGTGACCTCGGAGCCAGGGGCCAGACAACAGAGCTGCTGGAGAAAGTGCTGGCCTTAAAGTCACATGGTCCAAAAAGAATAGCGTGGCACGTGACAACTCCCGGGTGTGAATGTGAATCTGGATCTAAAGCTGGCCACTCGTGAAAACTGAAATGCACGCTCAGCATTTCGTGACATAAATAACTGTTCAAAAAAAGGTCAAACTCCATCCTGATAAATGTATACAGACATCTGATGGGCTGGGTGTGACAAGGTTTCATCTTATGCAAAATAGGCTAAAAGGCCTGAGAAATAACTGGTTTACTCTGATCTCACAGATACTGACATTCTCTTATTCTGTATTTAAGTGTATGATGGGACTGAAGATATGGGATTTAACTGCTGACTATCCAAAAATAAATTGACCTTTTATTTCCAGGAACTTAACAAAAGCTTTATAGTTTATGCATTTCAATGGTTTAAGGCTGATGTTATTTCTAGCTTTAATGCAGATATCAACGTCTACACAAAGGCCCTTCAGTTACAGCTAAGCTCACATAACCTAAACTCCATTATTATGCTTTGATATATGTTCAAAAGTACATCATGTACCATAAACACTACTGAACAATTCTGAACAGCACTGTTGAGAGTTGAGATTTCACTCATCTAGCCATAATTACTTGGTCACGGTTACGTATCTCATCCGATGGCATAGAAAGTCAAAGCAGAGAGAGCGAGTGTGCGACTGACAGATACACATTCTTGTCAAACAGGGGCTCCTAGTGGTCTTATAAAATACGGCTGAGTAGGAAAGCAAACAAGAGCATCAGATAGTGAATACAAAGATATCACATTATCAATAAAGCTTCTAAAATTGATAACAATATATACCTTATGTACAGTAAATATTAGTTCATAAAAGTAAGGAGCTTCTCGACACTTCAGTACAACAGATTGTGACACAATTCCTCTTCTTTCAAAAAATGTTTCCAAGTAATTTGAAAATAACCTCTGAATGCTTAGTCAAAGTCACGATTATAACAACAATTAGGATAAAATTAGAGGTAGCAGCGGATTTGGGATCTTCTTTTTTTTTTTTTACTTCCTTCCCATTAAACTTGCTGACGGGGTATTGCGTGCTCAGATCAGAATCTTCTTCTTCAAAAACCTGCCTGACAGCCAGCTTTAAATACTCACGCACCCATGAGCGCACTTCTCAAGTGGTTTTCAACAGACACCAGTGTCGTGACACTCACACACAGACACATACACACTTTTGCTACGCCCACACATTCAAACAATGTTCCACACACACACACACACTCACTCTTGCTATGCCCTGCTCTCCTACCACCTATATTCCTTCATGTATTCTCCTCTTTTTGCCAGTCTTTCTTTCTGTTGTCCCTCCTGTTCCTTAGAAACCTTTGGGCTTAGTGGTCTGGAAGGGTTGTGGTGCTGGTTTGGAGCCGTAGATTTGATCAGGTACGGGGACACCAGGTCAGAGGGGAGAGGAGCTTCTGAGCTGTTTATCACATCTGTCCCTCCTGTCCTTCTCTCCATCCCCAGCTGTGATCCTCAGTCCTGCTGTTTGTCCGACCAACCTCTTTCTAACACTGGTTAATCACGCCTCGCACAGGATCACCCCTCCTGTGACCCCCCCTCTTGTCCCCTTGTCCCATGTTGACTACAGTGCCACTGGACTGCACAGTGTTTGAGGAGGAAGGCCACTGCAAGTCAGTGTCTGCAGGTCTGGCTGCGGTTTGTGGGGCTGCTGAGCTGTCCCAGACAGAGTGGAAATTCAGGACTGATAAAAGTGGTGGTAGTGGTGATGGTGTTCATGGTGGTGATGGTGCTCATGCCGCTGCACCACTTGCGCAAGCCCCCCCTCGTATAGCAGCACGCTGGGCAGGTTTCTCACCTGCTCCTTCTCCACCATTGGTCCCGGAGCCGCCAGAGGGCCTAAGGCACGGTAGCCCTGGCTCTCCTTGGACCGCTGCTTGTGCTTGCGGTATGGCGCTGCAGACTGGTGAGGAGGGGTCTGGCTGGGCAGGGCAGGGGGAGGAGGAACACCTCGACTTCTCATCACCCTGCCACTGGTCTGTGCAGGAGGTGTGCGGCTGTGGGACTTGGGAGAACGGAGGGCATGTTTGCCTGAGTCTTGGCCACGCGGCCGGGGAGGGTGGAGGTTGTCCGGGGCGACAGTGTCCACAACAGTCTGCAAGCGGCGGTGGTGGGAATGGGAGTGGCCATTTTCCGGTTCGTGGGAGCGAGAGCGAGTCTGGTTGGATGAGCGGGTCTGGGGCTCTGCCTTTGTCGGCTCTGGGACTGGAGCTGTGAGACAGACATGCATATTTATTATTCATTTTAACCATTTTAACCAAGAAAGGAGCAATGATAAATTCAAGATTGCAGAGAAACAATTCCATCACAGGACAGTTCAACTTATAAAATTCATTCCATGGGCACTTATGACCCAGCAAAAAGAGGAAGGAGAAGAAAACCAACTATGTGAAAATGATTGTGCTAACAGCTAAGAGCCACTCAAAAGCTCCACATTAAGGTTCTAACAGCTTTGTATCAGGTTCTGTCTTCTACTGAAGTGACTCAGAGCACATCTCTGTTAGCACCATCCTAACAGAACCAATATTAAACTAATCATATGTCATCACTGACCATCAGATCAAGGCCACTGCTCATTAGACCTAATATTTCACTTCTCAGCAGCCTGTTCTGTTGATGGGCTTCAGACTTGAACACTTGGTATATTGTGCTTGCCTCAGCCCAGATGTTTGTACTGGCGAGGAGCTCAGCGGGCTGGTAGTTCTACCTAATGGCTCCAAGCAGGTGCCGCACTAATGAGGGCCCCTGGATGCAGCTTCAAAGGGGCCACGGTCTGCGTTCCTTCCTCCCCTCTCCCCCTCCTTACCCCCCTGGCCCCGGTCCACTCACCGGCTCCAAAGCGGGACGTGTAGTTTTCTATGCCTGCCAGGTCCAAGTAGTGGTTCCTGCGTTCCAGGTTCTCATCCACACAGTGGCGCTGGCAGCCTGGCTGGGTGTGGTGGTCACTGTGGTGGCGCCTGTGGACACAAGCGGCACCTTTCATTAGGTAGCATTTTTGGTCAGTAGTGGTGGTGCTCACAGTAAGTAAAACTAGTGTTCCTTATGATCAGGCAGCTGCAGAGTAATTGTTAGAGAAGTGAGATTGTGACTGGAAAATCACAGGTTTAAATCTCCACTATATGAACAGAGGGCTGGCTCCTCCTGGGTACAGCGGAAGGGCAAAACTAATTTAAGAATATACGACTATTGCAGATCCCAAGTGTCTGAACAACAGCTGCTACTTGCAACTATTCCTGAGGAAATCTCTAGTTTACTGAGTCAGAAAAAGTAGATGCTCAAACCAGTGATCTCAACATATGATAATAACAAACTTCAGATTCTTTCTCCTCCTGTAGACACAAGTCTAAATAATAGAAATTAAAGTGTGCAGAGGAGGTGGTTTACCTTAGGAGTGCTCGACTCTTCTTGTCTGCACTCTTGGGGTCTTCTATACACTTGTCATTTTTCTCTCTGGGGTGGGACAACTCTGTGTATGTGTGAAAGACAGGGGGCTATTATCAAAGACAGCTTCACAGAGCAGCCACAGACACACACACAAATACACAAACATACACATGACAACAGTCACACAAGCCTCAGAAGAAAGCAACCTTTGTTTGGGGGTTTTACTTTGAAGATCTATAGAAAAGGAAAAACAACAATGCTTCATTTATTCTATTTTCAACTCCCAGACTCTTATAAGGCGTGGAATGAAAAAAAAATAGTTTATTAAGGCTGTGAGATCTGATGCAGTTTGAAATTAGCATGAAGGCAACCAGCGATATTTTCAAAGCTCGCTCTGTTTGAATCTCTTGATAGATATTTATAGCCGAAACAATAGGATGCAAACACACAGGAATATATACTTTTTGAGATATTTTTCACTGACTACTTGTTTACCAAGTCATCAGTGAGAAAAGTTAAGTTGAACGTAGCTATATTTTCCCGGCAGCTCCAAGAAGGGGGGCAGGAAGAGAAGGGGGAGACGAGAGGAAAAAAGGGAACTTTGGAGAAAAGAAAAATGGCTGTGGTTATCAAAAGGACTCGGCACATCTCTTAAGGTTTCTTTCAGAGTATTTGAAGGCACTGAGGGAGGGGGCCCACTCTTGGCTCTGTCACTCCCCCCCATCATTAAAAATGAACCCCATTGAGTGTGAGAGATGGAGCGACTCCGACACTGCACGGAACAAAGCTCTGACAGGCCTGAAGCAGCCGCCTTTCTGCATGACAACAAACACGTCTCTGGCTGAGCTGACAGCAGGCAACGCAAGGGGGACCCCAAAATGCCCTCACTTCTCCTCCAACGCCCCCCTCACCCACTGTGTTAATGCGGCTTTTACCTGCTGCACCCTGCGTACAGCTCCTCCACCGCTGACTGGAATCGGGAGCCACAGAGAGCTTGACCCTCAGTGTCTTGCTGCTGCTGGGAGAATGGTTGACGGAGGCATCCACAACCTCGTAGATGGTGTGCAGCAGGCTAGTGATATCCTGCAGGAGAGAGGTTATGGGAATGTGTTCAATCTTTGGCTTTTTGATTTTTATCATTTGATCACAAAAAATTGTTATCATTGGTGCAGAGACACAGGATTTTAGGGCAGATATTTTACAGAAAAGGGGGAACATGATGTTTGAGACTCTTCTTATTACTGCACTGTTTGAATTCAATATTCTGTAGCTCTGTGCATGTGTCATGAACGTAATGCTAGCTGGGAATTTAAAGAAGTGACTCAGACAACAGTGAACAGAGCAACACTGATCATGTCAGTTGTTTTAGCTTGGCTTTCCAAGTGAAGCGATCAGACAGGGGTGTAGAGACAAGGTATAAATTCATAAAAAGAAACTTCTTGGTGGTAGCAGAGGGGGCTGACTAAGATGTCAAGCCCGATATGAGCTATGTTACAGCTGTAAAGGCTCTACACACTCTCTGTTTAAATCCTCAATGCCTCCTAAAAAACTTATAGCACATCTGCATAGGGGGAAGCATCAATGTAGGTTTTCAAATATATGTGCTAAAGAGCATTTATACATCGCCAAAGAAACATCAAATATATTTTCATGTAAAGTCATCATAAAGCTCTCCTTTAATCATTATCAATTATCAATAACTTAAAATTAAAAGTGAAACCACAATAACTTCAGAATGAGGTAACTATAACTATATTTGGACGACTTAATTTGTTTAACGCCGTATCAAGTGGCTTTTTGAAGCTATACCTTGTACAGAGGATCAGCAACAGCACAAGGTCTTTTCATACCCAATTATATTTGTACATCATCTGGTATAGAAGTGAAACATACCGTTTTTCAAATCTCGTATTGTTTTTCTTAGAGCAGCTTCATCATCAGAGCTCATTTGACAAAACTGCTGAGAATTTAAGCCTATGCCACACAAAGCCTGTGCCATTCTGACTCACGGCAAAAAGAACGATTATGAATTCTTCAGGGCCCGGTTCCACATACTGGCTTCAGATATTGAAAAAATGTGCAAAAAAAAATAAAACAAAAAGCTTTCTCTATCAGTTTTGGCTTCCTTTTCTTTTTTATTTGTATGAAAGGGTAAAAAAAAGGGTTGAGGAAGAAAGATTTTCTTTCCTCCTCCAAGCTGCTGCTGCCTGCCGTCTCATGAGCCCTGGAGCCACAGGCAATGCCAAAAAAGCTGCACAGCCAACTACACAGAGGACAGCTCTGAGTCTCTTTGCGCTGTTTCAAGTTGTTGTCAAAAAACACGGGCCTTTCTGGATGTGAGCTAAGATCTGTACCAGGCAGCACAAGACACAAGGTACCTCGCAGGAGATGGAAAACAACAGACAGTGCTGGATTTGGTTCTTACGAGGGAGATTGTGTTGGAGGTCTAGAACTTCTCTCCTCACTTTGTTTTGGGTGTGGCAACACCAGGAAAAGTAAAGGGGAAGTTATGGATTCATATCCAGGCAAAAATGGCATGGGGATTTGTACAAGCAAGCTGCCGAGTAACATTTTTGGGGCAGTCCCATAAAGGTTTCTGTCATAATGTTTCATTTATATTACTGTAGTAGGGGAAACTGGCGAAATGTAATCTTGGTAAATTTTCCAGAAAAGTGAGGGAGTAATTCTTCTGAGTGGCGGTGGCAGATTTTCTATTTTAATTGACTGCTTTGTATTTATTTTCAGAGCAGGTGATTATTACCTCTCTAGTGACTTTGCCGTTGTTGTCAAAGTCGTAGAGCGTGAAAGTCCACTCCTGCCTATTATCCTCCTCCACAGACACGGCGCACTCCAACTCCTGAAACAGCAGAACATTGAGCTATCAAGATCGTCCACTACGTGTGTGTATTTGTATGTGTGAGTCCTTCCATTGGCACCGTTTCATCCAAAGGGGAAGTAATAAATGTCCTGTTCAGTCTTGACACTCACTTCAAACTGGAGCTGTTTCTGTGGCCCTGCGGGAGTTTGGCTGTCCCTCTCCTGCATCTTCTCCTCCACACAGCAGCTGTCTGTCTTCTCCGGGGGTAAAGCCACTGCAGCGACACACAGATACACACACAAAAAGATAAAAGAGAGAGCCTGAGGATGGAAATGTTGGATGCAGTCATAACCTGAGGATACGTCGTCGCCTTCAAGTTTTGCTTGTTAGCTCCTGCTTCTGAGCTTGGCAGCTGCAATTAAGTTGTGTCACACATTCAAGCGTTTCTAGTTAGAAATAAATCCTCATTGTAATATATTTACAATGCATAAACCATAAATCAGAATTCAGCACTTGTATAATACAGTACAGTATTTGTGATCATATTAAAAAGCACTAGGACTAATGACTAAAACACCTTGAGAAAACAATCATGGTACATCAATCAGTGACCCTGTTTTAATCATGTAACTCCAGGGTCCAGCTAAATTAAAGAATGTGATAATATTTATATTTAATCTGTTATCAAAATGTTTTATGGTGCTTATGCCAGTACTGAACATATTTATTTCTTATATTAAACTTTTAAATTGGTAACTTATTTTGGCAGAGTTCCATGATAAATAATTACTTGATTTTCAGAATCATTGATCCCAAACTTTCAAACCAATGCATAAACAATGCTAATTATCGCCTTGTGGTAGTAGTATGTGCGTTCACAACCAAGTTGTAATTTACATCCATGTCTGTCCAGACTCATAAGATTTGTAGTGCAGACTTTAAAATAATTTAATAAAAGGTATAAAGTGGATTTTATTCTTGAATTATGGCCAAAATGTTTATCAGGTCACAGTGACCTTTGACCGTCGACCAGCAAACTCTAACAAGTTCATCTCTGAGTTCATTGAGTCCAAATGGATTTTTGTTGCCAGATGTATGAATGAAACTCCCTCCAGGCATTCCTGAGATATCGCATTCACAAGAGTGGGACGGACGTGAGGTCACAAAGATCTAATCAGTTCATCCTCAAGTCCAAGTGAACATTTGCGCCAAATTTAAAGAAATTCCCTCATGGAGTGTCTCGATATTTCACGAGAACAGACAGATGGGCAAACAGAAAACATTACGTATCCCATTACTGCTGTCGTTGGAAATCAGGCATGTAAATGTTGAAACTGTGACAGCACTGATTTTTCTGTGGCAACAGCTCCATCAGCCACACATATAGAAATAGTTTTTCAATTCTCAGCTACAGTATATATATATATCCCAGTGGATTTGAAAGGGGATGTCAAACATGAAACCAAATGGTATGACATGCCTAAAACATGACAGACTATCAGGTGGCATATGAATAAAAATGGTGGAACTAAAAGAGCATCTGAACATCAAAGAGCTATATGTGGCCCCCCAAGTCCCCAGCTCCGAGCAGCAGAGCTCATCATTTTATAGACCGACATAAGACTAGAAGGAGACGGTCTGCAGGGAGCACTAATCTGTCACATGCACTCAACTGGTTACACCGATGGCCAGACCCACCTGTGGAGAGCCCGACAAAAGGCTATAACATAGAAATCAATGAAAGTTTCATGTACGACAGTTTATAGCACAAATCCTCACAGAAAAAGCCAACCTGAGAATTAGGGCTGCAGGATATCAGGAAAACATGCAATAACGTTGTTGAATGTTGCGATAGTGGTATGACTTGCGATAAATAAACAAATGCTGAAGTATAAGGTGTTTAAGTCCTTCTGCTTTAGGTTTGCTGCTAACATACACCCCATACAATGAGTAGCCTATGCAGACATTGAAAAAAAGGAAATGCATAATTTCCATTCCAACAACATGGTTATATTGGAAAAAATCCCACCTGGCAACTGACGCAGGGACCATGGACAGCTCCACAACCAGAGAGAGGCGAACAGCCCGACCCCAGGCAGACACCCAGGGAGCCATGAACAGCTCCACTTACAGCGATCATTTTGGGTCATATCATTTATGTTTGGACTGTAAAAAAGTTATGTTTTACAGTTTTTACTGGCTCTGGCAGTAATTTACTCCTCCTCTCTGCGTCTGCATGTGCCACTGGTGTGAAATCCTCAGAGTGTGTTGGGGTACACAACCCTGCTTTGCAACATATCAGACTCTAAACAGTGGAAAAACTAAATTAGCCCGCAACCTGAAGAAATGCTTGTAGCCGTCAATGATTTAAAAATTCAGTGTGTAGAATTTTGTGGTGAATTTGAATGTTTCAGCTGAATACCCCTCACCTTACCCTCCCCTTCCAAACATAAAAAACCTGTGGGAGCCTTCAATTTTTATGAAAACTCAAAAGGTGTTTAATTTGTCCAGTCTGGACGACTGTAAAAAAAAAAAACATGGCGGCCGCCGTAGAGCGGACCCCTCCCGAAGTAAATATAAAGTATTTAAATATAAAGGGGCAATTCTAGGGCAAAGAAACAACAATTTGTACAATTAAGATGAAGCACAACGGTGAGAACATTGCTAGGATTCATTTCTATTCAGTTTCTGCCAGTAGATCCCTTTCACCTAAATCTTACACACTGGACCTTTAAGCTTTCTAACTTCACACACACTATTTGGATTAAAATTTATTGTAAGGTCATCCTCAAAAGTGACAAAACTAGAGGGACAATGCACATACCTCCACCAAGGCTGATTGGCCACTTTATCAACATATTGCATAATGAGATCAGATACATATTCAATGTACACAGTTTATGTTGTGCAAACTGTCCACAATGAAGACAGGGTGCAGCAGGCAAAGACAGACGCAGATGTCTGCTCTTATCGCCACAAACTCTCTAGACATCTTGGGTGTCTTCTACGTGTATGACAACACTTTTTCACCAGAAGATATTTGTTTTCTTCTTTTTTTCCATCTGTCACAGAACCCTCCCATTTGCTCGCTGTGAATCCTGCGATTTTCCTGACTTCCTGCCGACTTTCTATTAGGGGGCCACGAGTGACATACACACACCTCCTCTAGAAAAATAAACATCCTTGCTTCAGCTTTATGGATGTCACCATAGATTTTATCTGAAGCTCGTCACAACTCTGTAGCCACTGTATGGTTCACCTCTGTTCATTTGCTTGGCTTTACATAAGCACACCTCCCAACCATCCAATCACAACCCTGTAGCCCAAGAACACATCCATAAACCCATACAGACCACACCCCTCTTTTTCCATCATCCTCCACTCCTCACTCCTCCCACCACACTTTGAAGTTCCATTCTCAAACCTTTTGGAAGAGGATCAGACAGGCTGTAAAACAGAATCACTAATTAATTAAGCCAAGTCAAATCTGAAACACTGTTTGTTTGCTCGCCAACAGAGCAGACACAACAGCCCAATTTCTTTCCTCCTGATCCAAATCAGATCAAAGCAGACCTGTCTCATCCCTGGATAGTGGAAAATGCCAGAAATGAAAGGCATCATCCCAGGGAGCTTTCAGCAACTTTTTGGAGAGGACCAGCATTTGGGGTCCCGCTGCTTGATCATCTGAGGTGCTCAAAGGGAACATTGTGCGCAAGGGCAAATCTGTTCCGTAGCAGGCTCAATATGGTGGTGAGATGCTTATCTCGTAGCTAATGAAATGCCGGGAGGAGTAACAGTAATCTGCTATCACTCTCCCCTGTGACCCCCCCCCTCCACCACAGACATAAGCCGGCTCTTTATGAGAGAAGCTGCTGCAAGGGGATTGGCTACACATCAGATCTGAGGGGCAAGACGAGGGCAGCCGAGGCTGGTGGCCGAGGCTGGCAGCCTCCATAACAAACCTCTTCCAGAAGCCCTGCTACACACACGTACATGCATACACTCATCACACCCAGCTTAGCTAGGCTACTTTATTACACACAACTGATCCTGTCCTCTCCTCTCCATTGGGCAGCACAGTGCTGGGTACCAAGGAAATCTTATGACATGAACAAGACACTTCATATTCTAGTGGTATCATAGTAACCTTTAACCTTTGCTCTCCCCCTGTAAGCATGTGTTGTGTGTGTGATCTGAGGGAGAGCAAGGTACATTTCAATTGTGTGTAACTTACTGTGCATGCAACATGACAATAAATCTAATCTAAATCTAACCAGCTGTGCTGTGCTCCTGAGCCACAGCTCCCCCAAATGACACATTTACCACTTGACTGAATTTGCCTTCATAATAATCTTATGATGTATTATGGATATATGTAAATATGAACACATTTTCTATGGCATCTTTTATTGAAGTAAATGATCTTGTTATTTTTTCTCTTTATCATAGAGAATGAACAGCATACTCTTATTTGCAACATCAGTCTTGAAGGGAGGACAGGCTTGGACCAGACTTGGGCTCAACCCAATGACTAAACATCATTTATCAGCTGCTAGTTTGTCTGCTCTCCAGTGATGCAGAACTAATATGAAAGTTTCTGCCACACTTCCAAATTCTGGGCTGGTCGTGTTCGACTTTCCATTTCAGCCTGCACCTCACGTCCGATCCTGTCTTTAAATGGGAGTGAGAATCTCTCAGCTCCCGAAGCTCTTGATCCATGATCACATCACATCAGGGGGAAAAACATGGAGGAATGGGGTCATTTAGCAGAGCTCTGCCATGGGGAGGAGTGGATGAGAGATGGAAGAATTGGGAGGGAAGGTAAAGAGGAACTCATCAGCATGTTGTTGGGAGCTTATAGAACGGGTTTGGACAGAAAGAGCCCAACAAATGCACAAACCCGATTGTTTGCAGGTTTTCGTTCGATTTAAACAAACTGGCCCCAAATGAGACAGTGTAACCTTTGAATATCCCTTTGATGAGGAGCAGTGGGCTTACCTTCTAAGCGGTAATGTTCATCACTGATCCCCTCAGCACATGCTTCAACCATGGAGCCCTGGAGAAAGAAAAGGAAAGAGAACAGGACATATATAATCGTTGTTCCATGTCTTACAGAGGAGTATAATTTTTTTTCACAAAAAACATTTTTAATGTTGCATATTCATAACACAGCTATCCAACACAGATTTGTCTGCGAATATCAAAATTATAGCATTTATATATCTATTTATGAACACAATTTGACAGCTGTGAGATGAGCTTAAACAGTGGCGGAAAGTTTAAGAGGATAGTAATTGTAGAGCTGAAACAAACTGAGAGCAAGACTGGCACTCAGCATTGTGACTATGAAAAAGTATCTAAATCACTACTGCCGAGCCCTGCAGAGAATTCTGGGAATGAGGCCTGGTAGTAGGGTTATTTCAGCGGCGGGCTATGGTTGCAGAGATACGTTCAGAGGCTTTTTTTGTCCAGGACTGCTTTCACCCAGGCCCCCTCTCCTTGCAGTTCTATCTACATACCACAGAGACGGGAGCGATATGTGATACCCGGGCTTCACTGTGGAAAGGTCTGGCTCAGGTATCCACAAAGCTTTACAGTCATCTGGCCAAAACAAACATTAATCATGGGGCTGACAAACGCATATACACCCCCACAAAAAAGAAATCCTAAAATGTTGACTTTTTGTATTACAATTACATATTCAATTTCCTTGTAACTTTTTTACATAAATTCAATGTCAAGTGTTTTCTGTCATGTTGAGGTAGTGTTTATGAATCAAATAACATGATTTGATTAGATACTGTTAAACTAAGTCATTCAGTTCAGTCAATCATCAAGATCAGCTGTACAGACAGAACATTCAACAGCAGACTTATCATAGCCGATGGGCTTCTGTCTTGATAGTCTGTACAGCTGATCTTGATGATTGACTGATTAACCTAATAATGATTGACTTATTAACATAATAATTAACTTCATAAGTCCTCCTTTAATGTAAATGTAGCAGCGTGTGAGTTCATTGTGTACATGCTGGCATTTTCACAAGTGTGTGGGTGTGAGTCAGAGGCGAAGCTGTGACAGTGTGAAAGGAGATTTCTGTGTAATCCAGAGACGTAGAAGGTCAGATGGTGTGATCCTCCTCACACTAGTGGCAGCCAGGCTGCATCACTGTGGGTGGCCTCAGGAAGAGAATACAGCAGATCACAGGACTGACTGACTGGCTAAAGCAGGGATAAACCTGTGTTTGTTGTAGGTTTGAACAGGTCATCACACATTTCGGCAAAGCTTTTATTGCAGGTCTGACACTGCTCAGCTTTCATATGATAAAAGTGTCATCGGTAGTTTCTCTCGCTGTTTTTAGACATGACCTGTGGCTAAAATGCAAAAAACTGGCTGCGGAGTTTACCTGCAGTTTGTCTTTCACACATGCACAACACATTGGGAGGGCCACTGCCCAGACAAGTTCACAATAGCAACAATCCCCTGCATTATTCAGACGAGAGGTGGAGCAGCCGGGTGCAGCAGTCAGAGACCAGGAGCGACATTTTTAATTTTTGCATCTGTAGCGTGTTAGAAGTATCATCAACCCCCCCCCCCACCACTCACTATCTCCTGCTGTTGTTATACATGGAATTCTCCTGGATTTCTACAGACTTTATACTAGAGAGCCAGGCATACAAAGTCTGCAGAAACTGCAGGGCCGCTTACTCAGGAATTTGTGTTCACACATGCATCTCCTCCGAAAAAAATACAGATATATAGTATCTGTGGAGTTCAGTGGAAATCTGAAAGTAGCTACTGTGAACAGAATGCAAGTGTCTTTCCATTAAAATCATCATCAAACTGCAGAATTACCATGGCCACTGTAATGTCATGGAATCGCAATTACACAACTCTGCAGAATGCAGAGTAAAAAATCAAGAAGAAAAGAGACAACCATGGAACTACAGTACACGTGCACACCACCCAGGTGCCAGACCATCATGAATGAGCTGTGCATCAGTGAACACCAACCCCCAAAAGGGATTCATTCATGTATATTAAAAATAGAACATGGTTACTTCTACAGGTCTTGCTTTGTAGGATTTGTGGTACTTTTCAGCTTTCTGTGGAATTATGAAAATTATTTATTAGTGCTTCAGCCTCCGCCCCATATTTTTTAAGATGACTAATATATTGAAAGAAAATCAATAATAGCAATTAAAAATACACTCTTGTTAAACTAATGTTTTTGGTTTTGATAATCAGAAAGCCTTATTTCAGTGGTTTACAGTAAAGTTTAATCATGTTTTCTCTCCTTCTGTCCATCTACACACTGGCTGTCTCCAACTTGAGTTCTCCTAGATATGGAGGAGGTCCACAAAGGAGGGTTGCGTGACCCATTCAGATAGGTCACAGTCACGGGTCTGACCCACATAACTGAGTGCCTGTAAATTAGACATTAAGACTGGCCTGTTTTCATAATGCCCCATAGAAAAATAAAATGCTTCCACAATCAAAATTCCATATCATTACGCACAGAGACACAAATGCACACACAAAAACGAATAATAAAAAACTTGAATGCATTTTTAGTTTTTTGATGAATGAAAATTATTGAGTGGTCCGCCAAGAACACAAGAAGAGGGGTGAAGAGGAATTTGCTAATTGGTTGTTGTCTGTGGTGGTGAATGTGAACTGTATTATTAGTATACGGGGGTCACTCACACACACACGCACACACACACACACATATGTTTTTGTGGGTGCTGGGCAGCAGAGACTATTATAGCACATTTTGTGTGTACACGTGCGCAAGGGAGGCATGTTGGCATGTGTGTACATGCTGATGTGGAATCAGTAGTATTTATGTATACATTTATTATTTCAAGTAGCCCAATTCCATCAGTGAAAACAGCAGACCTGGTAAACCACGTCAGCCACACAAAAGTTATTATCAATCTACAGACACTGAGATCACATACAGTAGCTAAGCACAAGATAGACTTCCACTCAACTTTGTGGAAGGTAAAGGTGCTCAAATGTGAGTGCACTGAGTGTTTTCTTCTCTTTTAGACTTATACCGAATAGTCTAAAATTTATAAAAACACATTTTATATTTAACTAATAGGGAATAAATGGCATGTTAATAAATCTAGGTATAGTATAACATCTTTCTCAATAAGCTCTCAAAAGTGACACCATATCTGGTTCGAGATTTTCCTATAACCTGCAAATGTTTTCAATATGGGACTAATAAAGGATTTTTTATTTTTTTTGACTTACACAGACACAACCAAGTAGTGAAGAGTCAAAATAATTTTGTGCTTAAAAAAAGCACCAAGTATTGTAATATGATGGGGTGTTGACAAATTGGAATACTAGATGGAATTTCTTTGTACAGCTGAACAGAAAGTGACAGATGCAGCAGTTGTAGTAACAGTGAGGAGTAGAATCTGTGCAGTGACTGTATGTAAAAGTCTAGTTTGTTAAACTACAGAGGACGTACCATGTAAAATCCTTAAACTCTCTCCACTTAGTCTGACTTGAGATCAAACGACTCAATGTGGATTTTGTCCAAAACTGTGATGCTGGTCACCCCTCTCGAACATGATTCCTCAAGTAATGAGGAATGAGACTTTACAGTTGCAACACTCCCAAAGAGTTGGACCTGAGCATTCAGATTCACTATCGATGAGGACATAGGGTCTCATTAGTTTCTGGACCATATGGTATGCAGGCACAACGACCAGCTATATATGTATGTAAAACTGCAGGCACAAAAGAGCCATCAATCCCCCTTTGGTCAAGCAATGACTCAATAGTGAGCTTCTCTTGGAACCCTTACTAACTCAAGGGTCAGAGGTCACTGTGGGAGAGCATTTTAAGCCATTGGAGAAGTTACCCCACCCCCCAATGGCTCAACTACTGAGCTAACAAGGAAAACGTGAGGTAGCAAGCTTCTCTGCAGCAACTATCAGCACTATTAACTATGTGATTCATAGGGACTACTGATTAACTCTGCAGTACACTGGCTGTTAAAGTGTCAGTGTTTTGCTCCAGTTTATCTCTGTAGCTTCAGCAAAGGTGTCACTTTTCCTCATCTTTGCAGGACTCGGTCAGGTGCTGGCTTCAGGGTACAAACAACCATCTCCCTGATGCACTTGGGATGAGCTAAAACAATTTTCCAGACATGATGTTAAATGTTCTGTGGCAAGCAGAGCAAGAAGCTTTTTTCTTTCAGCAGCAGCCAGGTCCATCAAAGCTTCTCCTGAGCCTCTCAGACAAGGGATTGTATGGCCCCTGTGTGTTTTAAAGTTGTTTGAGCACCTCAACAGAAAGTGATTTATTATTGGACTACAACACAGAACACACTGTGCCTGCACCATTACAACATCCTACCTACATCACTCACCGGACTGAGGGTCTGTTTGGGTTGGCCATTGGAATCATTTGGCAAACCAGATCTATTCAAGATTTTATGCAAATGGGTATCCCAAAGACAGATTAGCATATTTGAGAATAATAATATCTACTGAAAAACACTATATCAAGTTATTTTTTAAGAGTACAGACCAATTCGTTAAAATTTCTACTGAAACCATCAGCAGAGGGATACCAATTCAACACCAGTGTTTGTTCTGATTCTTGTTAACTATTATAAACTTATTTGATTAACCACTATGGTGGAGAATAAAAGAACATACAGTTTACACATTTGAGTTAGCGATTCTTTGTATCTATGTGAATCTATGTTTTCACTGGTTGTTTGTGTGCTTGATTGGTTTGTAAGCAAGATTACACTAAAATAACAGAACTGATTTCCATAAAACTTGTGCAGCTCTGGATCAGGGGGCAGATACATAATTGTTTCACTTTTGTTAACACTCTAAGATAGGGCTTTTTTCAAAATTTTAACCATTATATAATTCATAATGAAGCACATTAAGGGAACCAATGTCTATAAGTGTGTGAAATCTGGTGCAGCTTGATTAAATTTAAAGGGACTGTTGGGCCTGGCTGGAGATATGCGCTCTACTGAGTGCCTTTTTTGTTATTATGCCAAAATGAATGCAC